GAGTCTCCTCGGGTCTCCGCAGCCGCCCCCTCGCTCCGAGAGTTACCGGTGGTCTCGGAAGCTCGTGTGAACGTCTCCAGTCGAAGGGGAAGATTTCAAACTACTGAGCAAATTCAGAATTTGTAGATCTCTAAACTAGCTGATTTCAGCCCAGATACCCTCCTCACTCCTGTCTGGATTGCCGACCCTGTCTCTGTCCCTCTCTCCAAATCATGGCCAGACGCCCCGTCATCGGGAGCTGGTGAAGACCGCTGGGGGAAGGACTCCGTGAGTCCGCTCCTGCGTTACTGGCCGGCGCCTACAGCCGCAGGGACCAGAAATAATTAGCCCCAAGTGAACATGTCGAACCAAAAGAGAAAAATGCCTTGTCGGCTACAGACGATGAATTACTTTTGTCTTGGTGTGCTAACTGGGAAGTCTACAGTGTGGCCGACATCCCTGGTGGTTCTGTTGTGCAGTTGTACGTATCATGGGAGGGATCTGCTGGGGCTGCGAGTGGGGAGCAGGGCCTGGGCATCGAAACGTCAAACACTGATTGACAGAGTGATCAGACGCCAGAGTCCGAGGGAGCCGAGTACACAGGCCTGCGGCCCCGCGCCTCCCTCGAATGCTGGGCGGATTCCCCCTGGTGTCTTCCCGAAGTCCCCAGGCGTGGCACGTTGGCCTCAAGGACAGAACAAAGTCGCGGGGGGGCGGGAGGGTTGGGCAGCGCACAGCCTTGCAGGAAGGATGGAGCTGACCGGGGTCTCAGGTGTAAACTTGGCTTAAGAAAACAGACATTCATTTTGCAAACTCAACTGCATTGGTGTAGAAGTGATCTATTTTCAGATCCCACCAGGGAAAAGCACAAGGAGATCCCAGGCAGCCCCTCAGAGGAGCCCACCCGCCTCTTCTGGTCCGTCTGTCCACCGCCCCGAGCCCCTCTGTGTCTCTGGTCTGCAGCTGACAGGGGCCACGGAGCCCCAGGCTGAGTGTGGTCCCCGCAGAAGGAAGAAGGTGGAGGAGATGCCGATGATGCTGGGCCCACATCCGAAGGGCTTCTGAAGCCCACAGCCCTGCCCCTGAGGCGCTGCATGTCCCCCTTTGTGAGGAGAGTGGGTTTGCATCACTGAGCGACCAGCCCGCGTCCTTCCAGCTCTGCCCTTGACCTGGGCTCTGCCGCAGCTGAAGGCGGGCCATAGACCCCTCGGATCGTTCCTGTCTTCCTTCACCCCAAGCCAGCCTCGGGGACAAGTGCATGGAAGTCACGCCCGGCACAGGAGGGGGCCCCAGTGCGTGCCTCCATCCCCGGACCTACCCCTCCCCGAGAGCTCAGGGGGCCCAGGCTGCCGGGACCGGCCCGCGTGCGCTCTGACCGGCAGGGCCCCTGTGCTCCAGACTTCGTAGGACTCGGGAGGAAAAGCCCTTCGTCCCCAGCTGGCTTGCATCGTTTCAACAGTCCAGAAATACAGATACGCACCTACTGTGTGCACGTCTGCCGCAAGAGGACAGACAGGGTAAGCACGTTCTGCGACAAGGGGGTGAAGGCGGGAACTCAGCAGCTCCCCTCGGAGAGGGGGACATTCAGGCCCAGAATCCCGAGCAGCCTGTGTTTTCCCGGATCGGATGGACGCCATGGCGTCAGGGCAGAACAAGACACCGCCTGGAACGCAGAAGGCTGCAGGGAACAGTTTTCCCTAAGGTGCGTGTGAAGGGCGTGGGCCCCTGAGAAGGGGAGGAAGGGGGACTTGAGGTAGGGACGCACAGAGGCCACAACGAGGGGCTGGTGCCAGACCCCAGGCTCCCGACCCTCCTGTGCGGTGCTGGGACGCTGGGGCCGGGGTGCGGGTTCCGCGGAACAGAAGCTGAAGACTCAGGGGAGCCTTAAACCCCACGCTAAGAAGTGCGGCCTTTGACACAGACGGGATAGGTTGAGGCTGTCCAGTAGACAAAACAGACAGACAGACACTGGCTTCCCATTCACAGTGTGCAAAGGGCCCGCAAATCCTGGGAAGGTGGGCCTGTTCCACTCGCGTCTGTTCCATTCCCCGGGGTTGCTGTGGGGGCGGCGATCCGGGGGTCTGGGGGCCACGGCAGTATCAGACGTGGTCTTTTCCCTCAGGAACTGATGGCTTTCCTGAGAAAACAGTCATCGATGCAAAAGAACAGTGCATGGGCACCGACGGAGAATAATTAAAGTTGTGCTGAGTTTAAGTTGATAATGTTTCCAGAACAAAACAAAACAAAAAATGGTTGCGGGGGTCGGGCCGTCCTCCACCATCCGGCTTCGCCGCCTAAACTCCGCAGGGGCCCACGGCCGCTGCTTGTTCAGAGCTGACACAAACGGAGAGCCTTGCACGCGCGAACTGCTCGCTCGTAAGTGTGAGAATGGCCGTGCTGAGCCATCGTGTGCGCCATGGGACGGCGCGTGTGTTTCTGTATTTGCGGTAGGGCTGAAAGCAAGTTAAGGAAACCGGGTTTCCACATGGGACACGTGAACATCGAGGCACGTAGAGCAAATCCCCAGTAATCCTCTCAAAGGCCCGGCAGACACTTTGGACATCCGTGGTTGAGGTTCTGAAGCAGAGACCGTTTGATAGAAATGGGTGCGGTTGCATCCCCTCATCCTCTGTACGTGAACGGGGGACGCCTTGAATGCCACGCTAACCCACGGACCGAGGTTCTCTGCGTGAGCAGAATCTGGGTTTGCCCTTGCCGCATCTGAGCTCAAGGTCACCTAAGGAAGATCCCTCTCCTCGACCCCCAGACAGTCCCCGTCTCCGTCCATGGACGACAGACATTGTGGCCCTTGGCCACCTGGTTCACGCCGTGGTTGGATCCCAGCGGGCTGCTGGTCCCGCAGGCAGTGAGTGAGCTGAAGCAGGGGTGCGCAGACAGAGAATGGGCTCCGATTCCTTCTCGGGGTTCCCGGCTGGAAGGGTGAGCACGTGAGGACTCGTGCTGGGAGGGGCCCCTCCCGCAGGACTCCCGTTTGGGAATCGGTCTTCAGGGGGAAGCGGCGCACCTGCTATTCCCGCAGCAATGGCAACGCCGTGTGCAGCCGACTTCCCTGCTGTAGGGTCCCATGTGCCCGGGAGTGTCCCCACAGCGCGGGACAGAGCAAGCTGGGACACGGAGGTCATCAAGCCCCATCGTTACAGTAACGAGCTCATCAGGCCTTTGGGAGCAGTCTCGGTGGCCACTGGCCGAGTTCCAGCCAAGGAAGACTCGAGAATATGGCTTGCCCCAGGATGTGGGTCTCCAGCGGCGCGTCCCTGCTTCTCTGGGCTTTTACTTGCTCCCGGTTCACGCCCAGAGTCAGACAGTGGTTCTGTTCTAGCGCGTGGCCATGACCTCCAACCAGACCAGGCCTGTGACCCTGGGAATGTTCCAGCAGCGTTTCTGGTCACAGACTGTCCCTCGCCTGAAGGAGGTGAAAGCATGTGGCCTTTGTCCCGTGGACCGGGGCACCCCCCTCCCTTTGGGGAAGGTTTCTACGTGGGGGATGACCTTATCTTGGAATGCCACGTGGGGACCCCCCCCACCATCAAGCCTCATTGACAGACGAGCTGTTTCCAGTGTCTGCGGGTGTGCGGCCGGGCACCTGCCATGCGCCTCCCACGTCCCAGCGCCCCTTCTGCAGGCCCCACCTGGAAAGCTTAGCCTCCACCGGAGAGAGCATCTGGAAGTGCAGGCGGGAGATCACGACTGAATCAGCACGACTGTGTCTAGATGATAATTGCTTTGCAACGAACTGGGAGAGAGTACGTATTATTAGTGATCATTGTTACCCGGACACATTTCTGGGCCAATCATGATAGTCCGCGTGACGGCCCCGGGAGGCTGAGAACTATATTCCAAATAAAGGGCTTCCACGCTGGGAGAGAATGCTTACTGGCTGCTTTTCTGGAGAAAGTCTGTGGTCCCTGTGAGCTCTTATGACGGAAGCACCATCGACACCCAGGTTGAGAACCGTGGCGTTGGTGTGACCGGGGCCTCCGCTTCCGTCCTGGACGAATGGCAAATATTTAAAAATAATCAACATGTCATATTCTATTTTTCATGTCATGCGTGTGTGCTCGCGTATGGCACACCACATGACACATTACTTTGCCTCTTAAGCCTTAGCACAGTGAGCCCAATTCAATATCTTCACTATTTATTACAAGCACCAATTGATATAAACGGACACCTTTGAGAAATAGCCGGGCCCCTCTGCCAGTGCTAGTGAAATGCCCAGCACCACCCTCATGACAGAAGTTATTTTATCTTTAATTAAATTCATTATATTAGCTGTCGTTCCAATTTCCCACCGGTACAGCTCGTATGTCACAGTTTACAAGCCCAGATACCCAAATAACCACGTAGTTACTGATTTAAGCGCTTGGAGAAAAGGTGGGAAGGTCTAGAGTTTATTTGGTACAACGTCAGGTTTGGTGATGTCTATTTTAATTGGGAATAGAATTTTCCACTGAACTTTGTGTTCAAGTCCGAGAAGCCCAAGTTATCCATAAACCTCTTGGGTTCTGACCTAGACAAATGGGATGTTAAACTGTTATAAAAAGGAGAGAAGATCTTAGGCAGAAAAGAACAATGGAGTAGGAATCTGGTATCTATCTGTATTCGGTGTTATTTGTCTGTGGCTGAAATGAAGGAAAAATGGGCGATATCTCATATTTCTCTAATTTACAGGAGAAATGTAATCCCCGTGCTCTCTCCCCTGCCCTGGCCTGCACTGGTCTGCTGGTTCCTTCCTTTATTCCTCCAGTAGACATGGCACCCAATGCGGGGATACCCTGGCCTCGTAAACTCCTACTTCAGTGGGTGAGGCAGACGGATGGCCTTGCCCCACCAACGCTGGCCTGCAGCCCCCGGAAAGTGGAGACTCACCCTGAGACCCCAGAGCAGTGACAGACCCGATCGCCCCTCTGGAGCGCAGACATGCAGGCCCCACGCTCACCAGACTGGATGGGCCGCCGGCAGCCCCAGCAGGTTCACTGTGGGTGTGCGGAGAGCGCGGTATGCACACACCATCCCCAGGGCTGCTGCCCGTGTCCGAGCCTGGCCAGCAGCGGTTCCTCCGTGTGAACACGCGTGTGAGCGCAGACACGGTCATACGTGAACAATCATCTAGCACAAAGCCCCCTTTCCTCACCGCAGGAGAGACACGTGATGCTGCTTCTCTGCAGTCGACACAGTCTGACCCCCTCTGGGGCCTGAATCCCCACCTCCAGGGCCCCGTCTCTCTCTGCCCTTCGACGGTCGCGCACCCCAGTGGTGGTCTCGGGTGTTTTCTGCCTCCCTGCTTCCGTCCAGGTCCGCTCGGGCCCTGATCTTCTTGGGCATTTGGCTCCTCCTCCTAAAAAAGGTCCCGTGATATTTAATCCTACAAAATACATGAAGGACCGTGACCGCGGAGCTACCACCCAGCGGACACAGACGTTAGTGTGCATCACCCCGTGGCGGGGGCACCTCTAACCCTCAGCTGGGCTTTGAGGCTCCCCCCACCTCCCCACTCTGCTCCCCCTTCACCTGCCTCCATCTCTCCCTCACCTCCCCACTCTGCTCCCCCCCACCTCTTCCCCTACTGCCCCCCCCTTCCTCCCTCACCTCTCCCTTCCCTCCACTCACTGCTTCTCCTCCTGCTCCCTGCTCAGCTCTGCTTTCAGCACTGGGAGACCAGACTTTGGGCCCCATATGGGGAAGACACGTGCATTTCCTGGTGCTCCTTCTGTCCATGGACCACGTGGCCATGCAGGCTGGCGAGAGCAGACCTGTGGCCGGGCCCGCCGTGGCCATGATCGCTGTCACCTTGTCACCTTGCTCCTCCTAGAGGACTTCCTCTCCCTTAGCTCAGACCAAGGAAGAACATGGCAATTACGAAGACCTCCGTGGACAGCTTCCCTCTTACCCACGAGGAAGACAACGTCTTCCGCGATGAGATGAGGGTGTAACTGTTGGCTCGGCCATCCCGCTCCAGAAAGGGGCGCAGGCTGGGCGGCCCCAGTGCCTCTAAGCCCACGGGGGTTCTGCCCGGTTCCCTCCCGCAAGCAGGCTTTGCCCCGCAGGCAAGCGTCGCGGCCACACCCAGCCTCACAGGAACATCTTCCCCTCCCTTAAAATGAGCACTTTCTCCTTAAAACCTACGGGCAGCCAAAGCGGGGGGACGGGCGAGTGCCCCGTGCTGCCGCGTACAGGCCCCGACGGCGTGCCTTGCCCCGGGAAGGCTCCTCCGCTGGCTCTTCCCCACTCGGTCCTCACACCCGTGTCCACCCCCCAAGGCGGCCTCCTCCGGCCACAGACACAGTCTGTCCCTCTCCTCCCAGGGCACGCTTCCGAGTGGGTCCCAACCCGCTTGCCGTCGCTGTGCCTACCCCCCCACCCCCAGTGCTTTTCCCAGTCAGACAGAACCATCTGGTCCTATCGGGACCTGTAAGTCCGAAAGGCACAGAGTGAAAGAGATTTCAGAGGCTCCAGATGAACTTTTATTCAGTGGAAAAAACATTTCATGCTGCATCCGGTTTCTCAACGGCATTTTAGCAGGAAGATGGACACTTAGAAAAGGCACCAGGGCCAGTGGCAGCATGAGTAGCCCAGAGTCCCATTAGGCCACATCCTTCACCGCGTCCCGCACCTCACGAGAGGATAACTGAGTGGCCTTCTGGGTTCCATGGTGAAGGGAAATCCAAGTTTGCAGACCAGCCTCAGAGCCGAATTTCCCGGTCTGCCCGTGGCCTGGACCTGCGGAGCGGGGAGAAGGCCAGGCTCCCAGCCCCCGGGAGCTGCTCCCCCATGAAATGAGGCTCTAACCAGAACACCAGCCTGTCTCTTGTGACGGGCTTGTCTCCCCCGCTGGGGTTGGAGAGCGCCAGAAACTGGGCCGTGCTCAGTCGGTTTGTCCGACTCCGTGTTTCCCACACTGCTTCGGTGAAATGGCAGCGGACCGGAGTCTCACGAGGGTTTCATGATCAAAGCAGCTTGGGAAAGATGGCTTGTTTCTCGGAGCTAGAAAGAGAAGAAACACGTTCAGCTGCGTTTCATCCAACTTGAATATTTTGACTCTGGATCTCCTACCCCTGCAACACACACACGCACACGCACACGCACACGCACACACGCACACTCTCTCGGCTATAATACCTCTTAATGTCGTTGAACATAGTTTGAAAACGTGCGGTAAACGGCGACGACTGACCTTCTCCATCGCCACCCAGATCTGCAATTCCGTGCACTCCTCCGGCCACAGCGGGACCAGCACTGACCGGGACCGTTCAGCTGCTGGCGTTGCTTGTGTTCACGCCCCTTCGGACACAATTTTGGAGCTGCCGCCCCAGCCTGTTAGCTGTGTCAGGACCAGACGCCAGCCAGACATGACGGTTGGCTTCAGATTCGGAAACAAGGTCATGGGGGACGAGGTGTCTCCTTCGCTCCTTGACTCTTCCCACTTTCAAGTCTGGAGAAGGAGGCGGGTGAGCGAGCAGGACGGCCTCCCCGCCTCCCTCCTTCCCGCCCACTTCCGCTCTGGTCAGACCAGCCTCACGGAAAATACGGTACAAAAGTTTATTTATTGATTGATCAAAATCTCTCCAACACCACAGAATTTCCACTGAATAAGTGATGTATGCCCCCTTAGATGATGAAACAGGCATGAGGAGCCCTAACATTGTCGGAGAAACAAGTCAAATGGCCTGAACTCGGAATTTCTGATGAGCACGTTGTCTAGGGCTTTGGAAGACGTGACGTCTCCCCCAAGAAGCTTTGACTTTATTACTTTTTTCCCTCTAGGTTGTAAGGGAACATGCCCCATCATCAGTTCTGATTTTCTCAAAAACGATCTTATTTTCTGTCCTCAAAAGCTCAGAAAAATGTCGAATATGCCCTTTCTGTGTATGTTGCAAACTGTGAGGCACAATCTTCAATCCCTGTTTTTGCAGAATGAGTCTCTAAGATGTCAGATTTTTCTTAACTATTTTTCTTGCAAGTTACCACGTGTTTGAGTGAACCTCTGGCCACTGGGGCTACAGGGCAGTTGCTGGTGGCCGTCACAGGTGTCTGGTCAAAGCTCCTTGAGCTTCTCAGGCCAGTAGGAACCCTGCCGGTCACATTAACGCCAGCGTCTCATGTCTTTTTTGCACGTTCAAATTCATCTAACTATAGAAAACTTGATGTTTGCTTTCTCTAGAGAACGTTCCTGTTTTAGTCTGAGAGGATCCACTGTACCTCCAAGTCCAGAGCAGGGCGGCCCTCAGGAGTAGCGGCGGTCGGAGCCGCCGACACTTGGAACAGGTCTCTACGAGGACGAAGTAGGCAGGTGACGTCTGGACAGACGGAACGTACAGGGAGGCGGGTCTGTTTTAGCAGGGTTAGCCGAGATGCAAGCATCTGGTGAGACTGCCTGGTGTGTGGGAAAGGCACAGACCCAACGGCGGGCCGTGGGACGTGGAGTCTTTTATGGGAAAGCTCCCCTACAGGGCACCCCCCCGCCCACCCACTAACGTGGTCCTGATCCTTGATTTCTAGAAAAGGACACCGTACTTCATGGCAGAGGACAGAGCTCCGGGGTCTGCCGGGAAGCCGCTGGTGTTTCGCGTTGACAACAGCACCCCAGAAGTGGTGCAGAGCGTCCTGCTGGAGCGGGGGTGGGACAAGTTCGAGCAGGGAGGGCAGGACGTGGAAGGCTGGAACCTGTATTGGAGGACCTCCTCCTTCCGCATGGCCGAGCACGCCAACATCAAACCCTGGCAACATCTCAACCACCACCCGGGCACCACCAGGCTCACCAGGAAGGACCACCTGGCCAAACACCTGAGGCACATGAAGAAGACGTACGGCGCGGCTGTGGACGAGTTCATCCCCTTGACGTTCGTGATGCCCAACGACTACAGCAAGTTCGTGGCCGAGTACTTCAGGGAGAAGCACGGGGCGGGCGGCGCGCGGAGCTGCTGGATCTGCAAGCCGGCGGAGCGCTCCCGCGGGAGGGGCATCCTCGTCTTCAGAGACATCAAAGACTTAGTCTTCGACGACACCTACGTCGTGCAGAAATACATCTGCAACCCTCTGCTCGTGGGCAGGTACAAATGCGACCTCCGCATCTACGTGTGCGTCACCGGCTTTCAGCCTCTGACCATTTACATCTACCAGGAGGGGTTTGCGCGGTTCGCCACGGAGAAGTTTGACCTCGGGAACCTGCGGAACAGCCACGCGCATCTGACCAACAGCAGCATCAATAAGTGCGGCGCCTCCTACGAGAAGGTCAAGGAAGTGGTCGGCCACGGCTGCAAGTGGACCCTCAGCAGGTTCTTCTCCTACCTTCGCAGCTGGGACGTGGACGACCTGCTCCTGTGGCAGAAGATCAACCACGTGGTGATTCTCACGGTGCTCGCCATCGCGCCCTCGGTCCCCGTCGCAGCCAACTGCTTCGAGCTCTTTGGCTTTGATATTTTGGTCGACGACAACTTGAAACCATGGCTACTGGAGGTCAACTTCAGCCCCGCCCTGTCCATAGACTGCTCGGCGGACGCATCCGTGAAGAGGAAACTTATCCATGACACCATCGAGCTGATTTACTTACGCGGTCCAAGAAACGAGAGAGCAGAATGGCGTGAAGGTGCCAAGGGGAGACGCAGCGTCTCCCTCGCCAAGCTGCACGCGGGCAGACTCAACAAGCCTGGCAGCACGCGCTCCTCTGAGGCCCTATTACAGCGGACGGGTAGAACTTTGGAGGATGAATCTGCCGTGAAAAAAGACCTAAAAATATGCCCTGAAAATAAACATGCGTCCCAGCCGAGGGAAATGGTGAGCGGGAGGAAGGATCTACTTCTGTCCACAAAAGAACCCCCCAGAACCAAGCCAAAGCTAACGGGTAGACACTCGACCTATCATAAGACGCTCCTTCCATTCATGTCGCTCATTCAGTCATGCGTGGGCAAGACCAGTGTCTCCCCGTGCGTCCCCTTGGACAGCAGCAAGGTGCCGGGTCTCCAAGCAGGGAATTTCGTGCTCATTTTTCCTTTCAATGAAGCGACTTATGGAGCCTCTAGGAATGGATTAAATGTCAGAAGAATAATCCAAGAGCTCCGGAAGCTCATGAATAAGCAGCATCCCCATGTGGTGGACATGGAAGCAAAAAGAAGGTGATGGGCTCTGAAGGAAACCAGGGATCCCTCCACCGGGGACGGGGACGGCAATGACTCAGCCCTAGACCTCTGTGCTCAGCACATCGACCACCTCCCTGGGGCCCCCGATGGGGGTGTGTATGTAAGTAGAAGTTCTCTGCAAAGTCAGACACATGTGGGCGGGGATTAAATTATGTGATATGACTGGTTTATTTGGTCTGGTTTCTTGGGAGAATACAAGCCTGCCTCTTGCACTTGGAAATGCGTCACCTCAATTACACTACACACTTGTGTAAACACGGACACAAGATTATTACCATATTTTTTAAGGACTCTTATGTGAAAACAGTACCATAAAAGGGTCAAGCCTTAACTTGTTTTTTAACACACCATTTTTTGTTCAAAATTGTTTTTGTCAACTTAATGATGAAACAGTCGTCTGGGGTGAGGCCAATTGCTGAAAACCTCCCCCCAAAATACCCAAACAACTCTGTCATTCCTCAGTCCCGGGCCCTAACTAGACACTGTGCCACGTAGCTTCCCACTGAGGACACCCATCGACCATACCCAGAAGGTGGCCGCCTCTTGGTTGGTCCCTTAGCTGAGAGATCATTCTGCGACCGCAGAACCTTCCAGACGCACCATGTTACCACTCCCGCCTCATAAGAAAGCAGTGACGAGTCCTAAGACACAAAGTCTCCAGCATTGACTTGAAAACATTATGCTGAGTGAAGAAAATCCAGACACCAGAGGCCACATGTCGTAGCATTTCCTCTACAGGGAACGCCGTGGGTCGGCAAACCCACAGACGCAGAACACAGACCAGTGTTGGCAGGGCCCAGAGGGGTGGGCAGGGGAGCGACTGCGAGTGCGTAGGGGGTTTCCTTTTGGAAGACAAGAATGTTCTGGAGATGGTTGTGCAACACTGTGAGTGCCGAGTGTCACTCATGGTAGGTTTCACGTTAAGCTTATGTTACCACAATCAAAGGTTAGAGCAGAACGAGTTAAGTCAGGCGGGCTGGAACTAGAGACCGGGGACGCGGGACACGGTGGGTGACAGAACGCGGGAGGTACCAGCATACGATTACCATTACGAGCTGGGATCGCACCTGCGGCGCCCCTCCGTGGCTAATGAAATTCGAGCGCTTGATCTCAGTGGTTCAGAAAAAAGGGGGAGAGAGAATTCAGCATTCTTGACACGGGGCCCACATGCCCATTGTGTCCCTGGCCCAGTGTCTGGCGTGAGAGCACTTACTTGCTCCCAGCCTCATTCCAGGAAGGGCTGAAGGGAATGAGTGGGAATATGAGTGAACCACGATTGTTCGGATTTTTTGTATGAGTATTTGGAAAAGAACAGGTTCTTTCTACAAGTGCTGAGGTGTGCTCCAAGACCAGACCAGGAGGCTGGCATCACTGGAAAACCTCCATGTCTTCAAATACTCTCCCTTCACCGCGAGCCAGGTGTTACGACCCCGCCAGGAGGATGAACGCTGCAGAGAGGCATGAAGCGTGTGCTGTTAAGGAAAGATGGTTTTACTGGAGCATTTGAAGTTTTACGGCAAGAGCCTTGGGCCACCTGTCGGGAAAAACATGCCAAAACTTGTCCCGGGTCTGGAAACGTGCACCATCCGCAGACGGCATGGTTCCGGGGGTAGACTTGCCTGGCATCTTCTGGTGCCGAGGGAAGTGTCTCAGGAGGGAGTGTTCTTGTTCCTGAGAGCCCTGGGATGACGTGAGCCGAGCAGAGAAGGACAGTTATCATGTGGGGTCACTCATGTGCAGAACATAAGGAACAGCGTGGAGGACCACAGGGGACGGAGGGGAGACGGAGAGGAAGAAGTCAGAGAGGGAGACAACCCATGAGAGGCTCCTAATCATAGGGAACAGACTGAGGGGGGCTGGGAGGGAGGGGTGAGGGATGGGGCAGCTGGGGGTGTGCGCTCAGGAGGCACACGATGAGCATGCGGTGTTCCATAAACCGATGAATCACTGAACATCACATCTGAAGCTGATGCCGCGCCATATGCCGGCTAATTGAATTAAAATAAAAAAATGAAAGATTGTACTAAAAATAAAATCCATGGGGCACATCCCGTGGAGAAAGTCGCCCAGAGAGGAGACAGGTTTGGGGCGACGGGTCCATGCAGGACTGCAAGTGACAAGGTTCCGTGACGTCCAGGCGTGCGTGAGCCCGTGGCAGGCTGAGGGGTGTTTCAGCCGTCCTGTGTGTCGTCCAGTCCCGGGCTGTCATGAGGGGACGGTGGGCTCTGGGCGGAGATCCGCTGCCGGGAGCACAGCACCCAGCATCCTGCCACCGCACACACGGCACCATCAGCAGAAACCTTGCCACCGAGGGACAGGGACGCCACAGAGCTTCTCACTAGAGGCAGGTGACCACCAAGCGAGGGACAGAACTAAGGACATTTTTAGCTTCCTTAAATTCGCCCCACTTCATCAGAAACTTTCGCACGGAGAGAACACTGTTGGGTGGTATCCACGGGAGGCAGCGATGTCCCCAGAGACGTCTGCACCCTAATCCCGGGGCCTGTGTGGTGGTCATCTCATGCAGCAAAGGGCTGGTAACGGGAGCAGAGTCAGGGAGACGTGACGATTCTGCGTCACTGGCTCTGGGGGCAGAGGAAGGGCACCGTGGCCCAGGACAGGCGGGCGGTAGCAGCTGGCGGAAGGGAGGGAGCGGGTCCTCCTTGAGAGCCCCCAGCTGGGATGCGGCCCTGCCAGCCCACCTCAGAATCCCAACTTCCAAACTAGAAGCCACTGTGGGTAGAGATTTGTTTCGGCAACAGGAGACTAAAGGCTGAATTCTAAATAAGAAAACACAGACTAACACAACACGGGCTAGCGCGGTTGTTTAATGGAAGCATAAAAAACAAGGTCAGTTCACATAGCGTACGTAGGAGGCAGTCGGCTTGGCTCCCCGCAGACTCCCGGTCTCTCCGGCTCAGGGTTAGCGCTGGCTGATCGGCAGCCTGCATACCTATGAGAGGGTGCACATCCCCGCGGCACAGGTGTGGGTCCCCGTGGCACAGGTGTGGGTCCCCGCAGCACAGGTGTGGGTCCCTGCGGCACAGGTGTGTGTCCCTGAGGCATAGGTGTGGGTCACCAAGGCACAGGTGTGGGTCCCTACTGTACAGCATGCACGGAGCTCAGGGCCACAGATAGGACGGGAGGGACAGACATATCCCCTTCCTCCACAAACCTGGCATTTTGGGAAACATTCTAGTGGATAAAGGGACTGTTTAAGGTCCAGCAGCACAACAAAATCTATTTGGGAAAAGCCGTAAACATCCACAACCTTAAGAAAAAACATCAGTTGAGGCTCTGAGCAGAGGTACCAGCAGCCGGTGCGCTCCACCCGGATCCCAAGCTCTGAGCACCCCTGCTCTCCGGACTCTGTCTTCAAACTCTGCTGCCCTCGGGGCGCCCGGGAGGCTCAGTCAGTGAAGCATCTGACTTCGGCTCAGGTGATGATTTTGGGGTCTGGGATTGAGCCCTCCTCAGGCTCCCCACTCAGCAGAGTCTGCTTTTCCCACTCCCTCCGCCCCTCCCCCTGCCTGTGCTCACTCTTTCTTTCTCAAATAAATAAACAAAATTTTTAAAAGACAAAATGAATGTAGTGACAATTCTGGGAAGGCATGAAAATTAACTACGGACGAGTGAGAAACTAATCCAGGCTGAAGGATTGGTCCAAGGTGTGAGCGTGTGAAATGGTCGTTAAGCATCGGGTTTTATCTTTTGCGTGGGGTGTTTATTCTAAAGCACCAGCCGCACTGAACCTTACAAAGGAAAGTTTAGTTATTTAAGGACGTCTAATCTAATTAGCACCAATCTTCAAATGCTCAGGAAAAGTCATTTCAAAGCTACATTGGATAAACTGGGCATTAAACAGTGCTAATTGTGACTGTGGCAGTCCTCCTTCAAAGTGCTTCTGATTTTACAGAACCAACGATAATCAGACATACGAGGACCGTGTCCTGTTACGGACCTGCTCACTTACACCAGAACTAACTTCTGAAACCTCCAGGCCCTCTCCTCACCGTTGCGGGGAGGGCGTCAAAGATGTGGGAGACCTGATGTCTGCCCGAACTTGCTCCAGGCCCCTTGGGAGGGACACAGGTAAGTAGGTGGTGGGAACGCAGCTGGGGACAAGCCTGGGACAAGGGGGCCAGAGGACTGGGGGGACCTGCCCGACTGCCGGGAGCGGGATCCGTGGGGAGCTTTCTAGAGCAGAGGCGGCCGCACAAGCCTGGGAAGGACAACAGAGGGGGCTTGGGTGAGACAGGGCTGGTCCTCGGGAAGGGCCTGTCCCTGAGGTGTGCTGGGAGAGGGCACTGGTGGGTGGGAGGGCAGAGGCAGACAGGGCAGGTGGGCGGGAGTGTGCCGGAGCTAGAGCGTCACGCTCTGAACCCAGACCTTTCCTGTCCCGCGCCAAGCCTTGAGGAGGCGCGAGGAACGGGACTGGGGCGCGATCCAGCGGCTGGCAGGTGCGGCTCAGGGCGCGTGGTCCTGAGTGTGTCCCGACGGCCAGCGCGCCCCAAGCCCCGCGTGAGTCATCCGGCTCTGATTCCGGATCGCCGAGCGAGACCGCTCCAGAGCTGGCAGGGACACGTCAGGCACCACCGGCCAGGCCCGTCGTCTGGGGCCTGAACGCGGTTCACCGACAAACACGAACGTTAGTTCCCGCTCCCCGTCCCTGCACAGAAGCTCCGTTCTCTTCGTCCCGCACCCCAGCCCGCCGTCCTGTTTACTGCAGTGGAAGTTCTCGGGATAAGCCGATTCAAAATAAAACAATCGGCACGTTCTTTTCTTTCTCTCTTTCTTTCTCTTTTTTAGCCAAAGCAAAGGCAGCTTTTCTGTAACAGATTAGTTTCACTTGTTAACTGACCAGTGACCGGGCCGTGGTCCTCGGGAAGGAAAAGGCCTCCGTCCGGGGCAGCATCCCGGGGAATGCCTCTGCCCTCCTCCAGAGCTGAGAGCACGCTGTCCCTGGGTCACTTCAGACAGCGTCACCGGCGTCCTGGCGGCTTCCGTAACACGGCACGGGTGACACTGGTTGACGCGGTTATGCTACTGACACAGGACGGCTCACGTCCGGCAGAGCAGAGCACGAGAGCTCATCGAAAACACAACACAAACCCACATCTCGTGACAAGATGGTTCCAGAAGGGTTTCCTCCCCGGGGACTGGGGGAGTCTCCGCGTGAGGACAAGGCCCGCTCACTGCCGTCGCGCTGTTAGTGTCTAGGCAGCCTGCAAACGGCACGATGAGGAGGTCACCGGTCACTGTTGTGACCTTGAGAGGAGAAGATCCTGAGCCTCCCAAGGGGACCACTGCCAGGCAGGGACGGGCCCCGAGACCCACCATGCTGAGCTGGGCCAGGCTCCCGTGGGGGCTACAACTCTCTTCCTACCCGACCCGGCAAGGTCAGGGGTTAGAGGTCCTAGAGGGCAATGGTAGGGCTGGGGCTTGTGGAAGGAGGGGAGTCGGTGTCTGCTAATCAGGGGGCCTGATGGGGCTGCTCTGCTGACCTCCCCCATCCTGTCACAGGGCAGTGCTGGCTCGTGACAGGCGGAGAGCCGGAGGCCCTGCTAGGGCTCCTGTGACGTGCTCTCTGGTGAGTCCCCTGTCCTCCAGCTGGTGCCGATCGAACCAAGGAAGCCTGGGGTCTGCGGAGTCACAAATCCTGCATGACTTGGGGTGTCCTAAAGTTTTGTGTGTTCTCTGCCATTTGGGGCAGTGAATATACTATTAGTTTCTGTGTCTGTTTCAGCAAAAAAAAAAAAAAAGTAATTGGGAAATCACACGTAACGTTGGGTTTTGAGGGACGCCCAATGCCTTCTGGCCAGAAGGATGTTCCCAGGCTCGTACCTGATCCTCACAGTCCCGGAGGCGGACCGGGTTTCCTGGGAGCCCGTGCAGTACACGGTCCTGACGGTGCCATCGGGGTATTCCCGCTGCGTGAACCCGGCCGTTTGGATTTCCCTCTGCCCATTGCTGAACACGATGGTCCTGTCGCCGTTCCTGGGAGGGGAGAGCGAGCTGGTGAGGGAGCCAGCACGGTGGTGGGGACCGGAGTGTGGGAGAAGGACAGGGCGGTGCACCTGCTCCCGCACTCCTGGGCTGGAAGCTTGACCTGCGGGGAGAGGGGAGGGGCTGCAAGGGAGTGAGGGGACCACAAAGTACAACATTCCGGAGAAGTGGTACAGAGCTCACGCAGACTGCGCCATGGGGACACCTGGAAGTCCACCCCGACGTCCAGGAGGGCCTGTGGGGCCGCGGGCGGCTGGCTGGCTGGCACAGCTTCACGCCTCTCCCCTGCACACACAGGGCGTTGGAAGGTAGCGGGCTCTGGGAGCACCTCCTCGGGGTGTCTCCTGCAGCTGCTCCCGTGGGCCTGCTCACACCCAGGCTCCCATCAACACGAGCCGACTGGGCGTTCGCCGAAGGCCTCAAGTACTTTCAGGTTGCAGCGCGAGCCTGACCACGGTCAGCGAGGAGCACGCAAGTCAGTGTTAAGATTCACGTGGGAACCAGATCATGGTCATAGACAACACCGCAGGGTCAGTGACAGCATCTTCTATCATCCCGTTGACACAGACACCTACTCTTTTACCAAAGTTAACCTGAGGAAACGGTTGCCGCACGCACCTGTCATCCTGTCCTCGTACTGACCTTTCCACAGTGACGACTGTCCCGTCCGGAAACACAGTCTCCTCACGGCCGCCGCTCAGACGTCTCACGGTCCCGTCCGGATGCACGATTTCCTTCGAGCCATCAGGGTGGTATTTTTCTGTGGAATACACGTCTTAGAAATGCAGCCCCTGCTCTCCGTGCTGTGTCTCTTGCGGCTCCCACGTGTCCCCCAGTGACCCACACCACAGAGCACTGGTATTCAAGACGCAGTTTTGTGTCCTGCTCCATCATTTCTTATGTGTAGTCGAGTGTCTTGCTCAGACCGAGCTCCCGCGTCTCCGTAGAAGACAAAATTTATGTTCTTCCAACTTTGCGCAAATCATCCCCTTGGCTGAAATGTTCTTTTCCTTCCGTGTGCTCTCCAGGTCCTTCGAGATGGAAGGTCATTTGTCCATGCCGCACCAGGCGACCTTGGGCTTCTGAATGCCTCTGACCTTCACTCTTACTGTTTTCACAGTGACCTGAGGCGTCAGACCAGATAACGTGGGGAAGACCCAGGCCTCCCTCCACGCGAGCCTCCAGAGGCAACACTGACTTTCAACCTTGTGCAAGAGACAAACCCTGAGGGGCTCCCAGCGGGTTCAGTCGGTAGAGCGTGCAACTCTGGATCCCAGGGGTGTGAGTTTGAGCCCCACGCCAGGAGTGGAGCTTACTTAAAATAAACAGAACCTTTAAACGCAACGAGGCTCTCTGTCCAATGCCGAGACCCTGCTCTATCCCATGTTCCTACAGGACCAAAGGCAGGTTATAATGCACACCCGTGGTATGAATCACTATTCGCATGTGATTGTCAACAAAAGAAAAGCTATTAGACTTGATCGATTAGTTTCTGTTTTCTTTCTGAAAATATGCATGTGCTTTTGTTTGAACTGTTCGCAGTTGCTAGTAGACAAGAGGAAACACCAAACAGACAGGAGAAAAACAAATCTTACAACTGAGGGAAAATTCCACCCATTGAAATATTTTTTAGCAAAAAACTGTGAAAGCTTGTTTTTCTGTGGTATATTGAGGGAATGCCTAGAAGGACCTGGGGGGGGGGGGCTCTTCTTTGGAACGATTCTCCGGAGCCCCACGGACCCCACGGAGCTCACGGACCCCTGGTGCCACTCTGAGCCCAAGCCTGCTGGTCTGCATGAATCCTACAAGAACATGCGCGTGACACACAATGGCACACATCAAATGGCAGGAGTGGAAAATGAGGTCTTTGACCGCTCTCCTAAAATGTCCGTCCCAGGGAGCAGGTCTGAGGGTGCAGACGCACCTCCCAGGGCAGTGACGGGACTTGGAGTTTCTATGGAGAGAATGAAGCGGTGCACACGTGACCTCTTCGTGGACCAGCTGAGACTCGGGGGCTCCGAGGCTTGGGGACAGCGAGGAAACACAGGTCTACAAAGCGCCTCTCTCTCCAGGTGACCCGACCCCACATTGATGAGTCACTGACACAGTGTGTGGGAACTAGCACATGTCGTGCTCTATTGTCAAGAACTGGCGGAAGGTCACCGAAGGAGGCAACCGCTCTCATGTCCACCTCTGCACGCACTTGCCAAGTCAGAGCCCAAAGGACAGGCTGTGAGGGTCCATCTGGGCATCGGCTGGAAAGAGCCTGCGTTGGGACCCCTCGTGCCCCTGATGACGGTCTGTTTAGCAATGACCTTGACTCTCGGCGTGCGGCAGGTCAGACCCTCTGAGAGCACCGCCACCGCCAAGTGTGATGCCCGATAAAACAGCACTGGAGACCCGTGTCGATGCGCTCACACCCACGACAGAGGCCTGACCTTGCAGGGGCAACCGAGAAGCAGACGGAGTGCACTAGAGCCGTCCCACTGTCCGGGCTGCCCTCGCGGGGGCTCCACAGGGACTCAGAGCTCATCCCTGCTTCCAGACGACATGCTCACGTCATGCCCCCCAGACAGGGACGAGGCAGGAAACATGCATGGCAAGACAAGGGCTCCAGGGAAAGTGTCCCGTTCCGAGCCCTGCAGGAGTCTGGGGAGAGGGGACACCCCAGTCCCGGGAGCAAACCCAGAGGAGCCCGGGCTGGCAGCGCCTCTGGCAGAAGCAAACCCAGATCTCTCCCAGTTGACAGACCCCGACAGGGACCCGGGACGCACCACACCACCCCCCGCCCCCGCGCAAGCCCGCAGCTGGGGCCACGGAAGTGGGGAGGGAGTGTCCTGCGGGGGTGGCACCAGCACGGGCTGGCCGCCAACGCCCCGAGTATGACGTTGAAAACCAGAGAAGTGATATTAGCACGAGTGACGGGCCGGCCCTGTTCTGCCGAGGAGACTGGGAGGTGATGGTGAACAGCTCGCCCAGGAAGCAGCAAACCCAAGGAAACGTGGTGTGATGAGCGACGGGGAGTGGAGGGAGCAGCTGAGCCCCACACTCGTGACTGGAGGGACAGGGACGGTGCAGGAGGGTCGTGCTGCGGTGGATGCCAGCTGAGGGCGTTGCTGAACTCGGACAGGTGCCGACGCGGCCGAGGGCACCCCAGTCCACCACGCCACAAAGTGCTTCTAGACTCGCTACGCCCACGAGTGAGCTGCGTGGAACGTGCTTGTAGGAGGGCATCGTGCCGTCTTCTAAGCTCGCCTTTCCCCAGGCCTCCTGAGACTACGGGCGCCCTGCCTTTCAGAAGACGCGAGTCACTCACCCTGAGGCACACACCGTCCCCAGCACCGTGATGTGGTCCCATCTGCAGCCGCCCTGTCGCAATGGACGATGAGACACAGCGTCCCCCGTGAGCAGCAAGAAAGAAGACAATTCACCCGCAAAGGAAGACATCAGGGGTGCCAGGCCTTCCCACCGATGCGACAGGAGACGCAGGAAATCCTCCCCGCTCTGAGAATGATTGCTTGTTGTGCTTTTGCTCAAAATTCTCCAGCGAGGGCCCTCCATGCAGAAGCCCGGGTCCCGCACACCCCGGCGCCCCCTGCTGCCACCTCCCCTCCGCTGCGTGACCCCAACTGCTCCCCTGCCACGCTGGCCTCCGTGACTTTCCTCAGACATTTCCCTTGCTCCTCTCTCTCGAATGCTCCTCCCTGGTAAGCACGTAGCTCTCTCCCTCTCACGTCATCCTGCCTCTCCCGACAGATCACTTCCTCAGGGAGGGCCTCCCCGATCGCCCTACAGAGAGAGGACCAGAAATACCAGACCCCGTCTCCATTGTCCACCTTCTTCCTTTTCTCTGTAGCTTTTAATACGTGTTGATTTTTATTTACTTATTTTTACTTCTTTGTTTTCTGTCGCCCTCCCCGAAAACTTCACGGGTCGGGGACATCTTACAGTTTCGTTTACTGCATCCCGTCTGAAACCAGCACCGGCCCAGGGTAGGCACGTGGAATTGTCCCTCGCAATAATGATCACGCGTGAGCAAAGGTGCCATCAAGGACGGTTTCAGACGGAGCACAGCGAGCCGTGGTGCCATCGGCAGACCGTGCTCGGAGCCGTACCTGCGCCAGAAGGTGTACAAAGGCGCGGGGACCCGGCAAGTGCGGTAAGCGGGGAAAACCCAAAGCCAACCTCCTCCGTACGAACTGTGACAATCGCGATGAATTAAAAAAGAAAACAATGAGGGAGATTGAAAATGCTGTCAGGAGTGTGGGGGAGGGCGTGAGAGGCGGCGCGGGGATCCCGGCCGCTCCCAGAGGACGGCAGAGCGACGGGCAAGCTGGTGAAGCACCCCCTCCGCTTAAATAAAATTGTCTCGGGTTGTGTGTTTTCCGTTCGTGTGTTGCTGATAAGAACACACCTTCACACACAGCTTTGAAAATAGCAGAAGGAAACGAATGGGGAGGGGAAGACCAGGCAATCGCCGCCTGCCAGAGGCCCCGCGCGGGACCACGCGCGATGCCAGACCTAAGTGTGGGCGTCGCTGCCAACGAGCAGGACGGAGAAGCGTTCCAGACAGACTGCGATAAATCCACGGTCGGCAAGACAGATTTCCACCACACTCTCATTATTTAGGAGCTTGTGCTGATTTTAACATTAGTAAGAACATAGCGTATTTAAAGACGCATTTTTTTGTTTTTATTTACATTCCAGTTAGTTAATACACAGTGTAATATTAGTGTCCGGCATACAATACAGGGACTCGTCACTTCCGTGCGTCACCGGTGCTCCTCACAGGTGCCCCCCTTCATCCCCATCCCCCGTCTCCCATCCCCACCCTCCTCCCCTCTGTAACCATCAGTGTGTTCTCTGTAGTTAAGGGTCTGTTTCTTGGTTTGTCTCTTTTTCTTTTCCTTTTCTCATTTGTTTTGTTTCTTAAATTTCACGTATGTGAAATCATATGGCATCTGTCTTTCTCTGACTTTCTCTCTTGGCAT